CAGTGGTCTGTCTCCGGGTGGAGCCGTTCTTGGAAATGTCCCCACTTTTTACTGTGCATTCAAAACATCCTGCCATATGCTATCGTTAAAAAGAACATTATATCATCACATACAGTGTGTAATTTCAATCTAATCTTTAGTCACATTTTTTTAGGGGGGAAAAAAGAAAAGAACTACAAATGATCAACTTTACCACCATGCATCCAATGTTATTATTACTCAATAGATGATGGATTGATGGATGGATGGATGGATGGAATAATGTCTTTATTTCAGTATATACTCAGCAATAGATGATGGATGGATGGATAGATAAATGTTTTTATTCAAGTATATGTTCAGCAATACGTAGATGATAGATAGTTACAGATAGATGATAGATAGATAGATATAGATGACTACTAATTTTGCCATCAATGATAATATTGATGTTGCTCATTCTGCTGTTTTATCTTTCATTGTATTGAAAATAATAAATGATGACAGAAGTTTCATTCTTAGGTGAACTGTTCCTTTAAGCCCATTTTTTGCATATCTGATTCAATTCCTTCCTTAAATTTCTCTCATATTGAGCAGCAGCTGGTAATATGGAGGGTGGGGGAGCTGCTGAAGGTGGTACAGTTATCAGTGGAACAGATGGGACTAAAGTGGGCTGTTTTGGGGATGTTATGAAGGTGTCAGAGTGTCATCAGGTAGATGCAGCTGCTGCAGGTGCTCATGAGCCATCAGCCAGAGCCTGATGGGTTTTACTGCTCATTACACTCAGCCTGTAAAGTCCACTACACCTCTGAATAATGCTACAGCATAACGCCTTTATGTAATGAATAATGCTGCCTGATTTCAACAGAACTTAGTGAATTAAGAGACTTTAGAGAGTGCAGGGTCAGGTGAGCTGGATTGTGCAACATGCTACCGCTATATTGGAGTGCTTTTCTTTATCTACTGCATTTAAATGTCATTTCAGGGTCGCAGAGAGACCTTTTGACCCTGTTTGCATAATTAGAATGCTTCAGTGTGATATTAATTTACCCTGACAAAGTGCCACTGTGACATATAAGAGCGATGCTTAAACACTTTCAGGCAAATCTAATTAATTTGCTGTTTTACATCACATTAAGAGACAAGGTGACAAATGTATATAACAAGTTGTTCTAGGTCCTCTAATTACTTGTGTAATTAAGATGGTAATTAGAGGGTGTTTAACTGCAGACTAGGTGATGAAGCTAAGTGGGAATTAATGTTATATTTAGCTATTGGGCAATACAGTACATACTGAAGAGCTTGATTGACAGGACTCGCTGAGATTTTGATGTAAGAGCAACCTCAGATTTACAACTCTCATGAAATTATTATCTGGTTCAAAGTGCTCACTGCAGTTTCCATCAGTTCACGTCTGCTTCTACATCTCTATATACAGACATAGAGAACAGCAGCTTTGTAAAATACAGTATGCATGGAGTCTGAGCCTGACAGAACGTATGATTAGGGGTGTGAAGCAAGGTTTTCAAACTTTTTGATGCAAACGACCCCCAACTATGACGTTTTGCTTCTGCCTGTTTGCCTGCTTGTTGGAATAGTATTATTAAACTTTGTGTTTTGGAACATTATTCATCATCTTCCTGCATTTACCAGTGACAAATAACATGTTAATAAACATTAAAATGACCCCCATCTCCCCAAAATATACTTTTTATATTGCTGTAAAAAATGCACCAGGGTTCCATTCTTACAGCAGCTTGAAAACCATACATTAGGAAAAAATTGGGAATTTGAAATTGACATTACGTAGGATCTACTGGAAATTAATACTTTCACTCAATTACACTTCAAAGGCAAAGAGTGTTTTCACAAGTCATCATGACAAATCTTTCTTTATCGTACCAATCAATCAAATTAGCCTCTTAACTGAACTTTTTAAAGACATCCATTTCCGAGTAAATTGCATTTGGACACAACAATGGTCATTTGTCCTTTTGATGAGACGTCTCATCAGTCAACACAAAAAAAGCAATGCATTTTGTTCATAGCCATTTCTGAAGATCATTTTATCAGCACTTTTTACACCTCTGCATACTGTATGCTGCAAGGGTTAGCCAGGCTTTGCATCTCTCAGAAAACATAATTTTACTTGCAGACTAAACAGGACATCTCTGAGTATTCAAGGAAAAGGAATAAAGCCTACTCAAAAAATAATGCCTCACTGAACACAGTGCAAGATTAACCTGAGATCTATTCCTCGATCAATGTGAAGCTAAGCCTGCGCTGCTTATACAGCCATCTTAACAAATCACATATTCAGCACAACAATCTGGCACATGCCAGCCAAAAGCTTTCATTCCCACATTTTAATCTTTTCTGCTGACATACTGACGCATTCACTGTCAAAGATACTGAATATTTCAATCTGGAGTCTTTGCAAGCCGTAGTGGCAAAGCAATTTAAGGTCTTGTGCTGTGGTGAAGAGCAGGCAGTGGGGTGAGCTCTTCAAGTTGGGCCTGATTTCCATGCTCACACATGGAGTCTGTGATAAGAGTCATTACCGCAGAGAGCCGTAATCACTGCCTCCACTGTTCAGGACTGAATCGAGAGCAGTGATGAGATACTGAGGCACTGTCACATGAACTCTGTGTTCAGTTACAGACAGAAGCAGCAGCTTTAGTTAAAAGGTCAATCTCACTTCTCTGAAACCTTTGGAGTAACAATCATAATCATGATACCAGAACAAGCCATTTCAAAGTACTCACTTCTGAATATAAAATAATTCATAAACATATTGCCCGATGTGGTTCTGCTTTAATGACCACATCATACGATCTTGTAGTGGTCCCAAAAAGTATTTGTACACTAAAGTCACACTTACTGCATGAATTACATTGCATTCGATTACAAAGTATCAAAAAGCGCAAACAAATGATGCTAGAAATGCTCTCACACTAAACTTCACAATAATTTGACATTTTAAGCTTGGTATCTAGCTTTGTTTCAAGACAATCTTCAGGCAGTGACTATTCCGGATTCCTTTGAAAATGCATCTTTTTCTCTACATTTTGGACACTTTTTTTCTGGTGAAACTGAACTTTTTGAAGAGGTTCTCACAAGTGGATACATTTGAAATCGGTGTTTTCGCGTTGTGGCGTTGACTGTGAAAATAGAGGTATTTCAAAATGATGATTGCCTGTTATGAGCTGTTCACTTTGACAGCACTGTTAAAGATTTACTTTGTATGTGTATAGTCTTCATATAACATTTCTGCAAAGATGACAGAATATTTACTCACAACTGTTGTCCTGCAGCAAAAGAGGATGGCATGCGCCTTTTAGACCATAAATGGAATGTTGATTTTGAGTTGCGACTAGGAGTGATATTTGCTAATAAAATGACTGTTTAAGAAGAATAGCATGAGAAGTTGATTAAAATTCTTATCCTGTAATGGTCATACATAAATATATCAATAGAAAAGAAAAGTGCACAAAGTCTACCTTTAGTGCGACCGCAGTCGTCCCAGTACTCACACTTGATGTCTTTTTACTTTACCACTTGTCTACTTACATTATGTATTCCAAGTGTTCAAGTGGACAGAAAGTTTTTTACAGAGCTTTATTTACACATTTTGATGTTTAATACTTTGCATATTAAAATAAATTCCAAAATGTCTGTTCAGTATTTAACAGAGGACACAATTTAGTAATTGTGGTACTTCTAATTAATTGATAAAAAGCAGTTGCAAACATTTGATAAAGTTTTCCTTGAAATCTTTCTCTTTTGGGGCACATGACTTCCTTAACATAATTAATGATGGGATATGCTTAGCGTCAAATACTGTTCCTAAGCAGTTATAGAGTGTGGGTGCATTAAAGGAACTTTTACATTTTTATTTTCTGACCTGAGGCAGTCTTACACTACTTCCAGTTGCATGCACGCACTCTCAAGTCGACAAGACAGTAAATGTGTGGGTATTGGGACAGACCCTTAATCTTGAATGTGTACAATGGATTTGTGGTCTCTCTATTGCCTTCTGAGATTAAAACATAAGACTACACTCTAAAAAATGCTGGGTTAAAAAGGGACAAACCCAGCTGTTGGGTTGTTTTGACCCAGCGGTTGAGTTGTTTTAAGTCAAGTCAAGTGAAGTCAAGTCAAGCTGGGTTTGTCCCTTTTTAACCCAGCGTTTTAGAGTGTACAATTTAATTTACTTAAGCAGATATATCTGATGTTTTGAGGAATTTTCATGGTTACTTCCATGGATTCCATTGGTAACCAAGACCTGCTGACAGTAAGATGAAAGTCCATAGTCAGTAAAAGGCATATATCCAAAATATATATATATTTTTTTCTTATGATGGAATTTTGTAGATTTTTACCCCCCCCCAAAAAAAAAAATCTTCCACAGTGCATGTATAGAATTTAGAAACTTGAAATACCTTTTTGAAAGCATGCTTATTATTATTCATTTGTTGCTTATTGCAATGGTATTTAAACATCCTTAAAAACTCTAAAAAATGCTTGGTTAAATACAACCCAGTGCTGGGTAAAATAGGAACAAACCCAGCAATTGGGTTGTTTTGACCCAGCGGTTGGGTTACTACCCAGAAGGTTGGGTTAAACATTTAACCCAACTGCTGGGTTAAACCAACCCAATTGCTGGGTTTGTCCCCCACAGTTAAAGCACTGGGTTGTATTTAACCCAGCATTTTTTAAGAGTGTACTATGTGACTATATATGATTAAAGCTTATAACTGCAAAAGCTCGTTACGCTGACCTTTGTGTCATGTATCCTGAGTGTGGAACCCTCCCTTGTGCCAGATACAGCAGCTGAGGAACATAAGCAATGCCCTATTACATGACTGTGGGCACTGAGTGCTCTGCCAGTGCAGCAGGGCTCCTCCTATGCACTTTTGCTCATAACCTTATGGCCGTATTTATTTGGCATTACTAACCTCCTCCTACAAAACAATGTTCTGAAAACCAGGACAATGATGGAACAAAACACACATTTGGGATCAGACTTTTATTTGGACTCACATAAATAACAATAGCTCATATATATACTTTTTTTGTATATTATAAATTTTTTATATAATATATATTTCCTCCTATGATTTACATTCTTTTTTGCCAAGTTATATCTATTGAAACAGAAGCATTATGCTGATGAACACACAGCTGCTTGAGCACATAATAAAGACTAAGAGACTAAAGGTTCTTTCATTTTTTTTTGTTCAGAAATGTAAAAACAATTGTTTGAAAACAGAAATGCAATTAGTTCATCAGTCTTAAATGCAAAGAAAAGCACAGCTAACTGGAAACCTGATATGCCATAATATCTTTCCTGGACGTTTCTCATAAAAAATGTTTATATAAAACAGTAGAGAATATCACAGGAAATACTTCAAACTGGGCCAGATCGTCATGCAGTAACCCAGTGAATCGCACTTGAACAAATAGATCATGTAGATCAAACTATATCAGAGATTGACTCGTGAGTTCTGCTTTCAAGCTCCTCACTTTTACCTCTTAAAAGCCTGAAAATGCATGAATATAGTGACCTGAAATGAGAAAATCTCAAAACAGTTCCTCAAGATTAGCCTATGGATATCACTAATGATCAATGGAAAGACGGTCTGCAATACAGCTGGCTCTTTTTAGCATGCAGAGTTGCACTCAAGACTGTCAGAATGTGAGACCAAGACACATGACAGCGGCTGCTGCATTGACAGCGACAACAGAACTGACAACAGTGTGACTGAATGAACTGAGATGGAGGGACAGTGCAGTAGTGGACATCTCAGGGTGTGTTCATACAGGAAACACACTGACAATCATTTGACATTGCTGTGTCACACTTCACCCATACTGGTTGCACTTTCAGCAGTGTAGAACTCACCAAAAAAGCTCCATCAGTCTAAAAAGTGTCTTATTATGGCATTCAGATATATATTTATTGCCCAAGACCAAGACAAATTGGATCAAAGACCAAAATGATCAAGTGGAAATAGTTTTGAGACTCAAGAACTTCATGCAATTGGCCAGAAATCATTATAAAGTTCATTATTGCTCTACTACACCATTAATGTATCATCTACCATCTACCAAAACCACGTTTTGGAGAAGTATCTCAGGTTCAGCATGCTATCGCAAAGATCTCTTGCTACACACTTGATTTTATTTATTTTCTTTGCCTGCACTAGCACAAGTGATTGTCTTTATCCCAAGACTGGGCGTCCTTATTTTAGCCCTGAACGTCACACTGCGGAAGATCGTGTAAGATACAGCCGTTAAGAAAATTAAACTACTACACTGGATTTGCTTTGGATGCACATTTGAATGTTAAACGGATGTTTTGTCAATCTTTCAAATAATTTTGAATGGATGGATCAGATAAATATGGACTATAGTCTAGAAATTCAGTTCTTGATGGCGTTTGAATGAGTGTCAATGGACGAACACCTCCACAGATGGGGTTTTGTGATGCATTATATATCAACTATTAAAGATACATGTTAAAAACACCTGCGGAACTTGTGCCTCATGCTGTTCACTGAAAACAAAACCAGAAACTGAGAAACTGAGTGAGAACAAATCACAGAGGAAATACATATCATGCCATCATCTTCAGACATATTTTAAACCAAAGAATTATCTTTTCTCCCTGAATATGAAAAGTGTGTTATAGACCCATCAGATTATAAATGTAACCCTTATTAGAAACACCAAATTGTCATCCTAACATAATCCACTATATTCAGTCCAAAAGGAAGTCCAACCCTGTCTCATGTTAGCAAGTCTTTTTTTTTAATCACAACAAATTCAACTCTAAAAAGTGCTTTTAGGGATACATTAAAACTGACAAAAAAGCAAATGTTTAGTCATAAATAATTTACAATTTCCCCCATTTCAGCTGTTTAAATCTGAGAGCTCTTAATCCACTCGCTAAACACTCAGAACTATCAGGAACAACTAAAGATCCAACTTCAGCCCAGTTATGAAAACCAGGAAAAGAAGAAGGGCAAGGGAACTTTCTGCAATAACTCCTATGATGCCTCAGTGGCAGCTCTTCACTCCAGACACATAGGGCGCATCCTGTTGGCGGCAGATGCTCTCTTGCTGCTCGCTACAGTCCACGAAGTCAGGCACGGGCAGCCCTGACATGATCATCAATGACTTGTTCCAGATCATGAAGGTGGGAGCCACTGGAAGCAGGAAGGAAATGTCAAAAGTGTATATGTGCTGGGAGTTCATGGCGTCGTAGAAGGACAGGGCGTTGTTGTCGTAGTCCAGCAGCACCCCGACCCTGCGCAGCTGTAGCGACGCCTCCACGATCGACTCCTTGTTGTTGTGCCGCACCAGGAAATTGTTGTTGCAGCGTGAGAAAACCCAAGACGATGAGTTTTTACCGCTCCATTCGTTTTTGGGTGCTGACTTATAAGCCACACCAAGAGCGTACCTGAAATAGATTTGAAATGTTGCCATTGGAAAGCAGGTGAGATAAGACATGACCAAAGGACTGAAAAACTGTTTTTAACAACTTGATAGTTCATTACATAAGACGTTTTATTGAAAACTCAACTGAACTTGGCAGTCAGTGATCAGTAGCAATGTCCCAAACCAAAATGTCCCAAAATAATGACAAGTCATGAATATTACCAAATAACAAAAACAAAAAAAAGGTTACATTTATAATAAAACAAGCATAATGTAAAAATTACACACACAATGTCCTCTTTTAACTGTGCATATCTCAGAAATCTGAACTTGTCAAGAGTAACATTACATTAAGATCATAAACATTTTCCAATTATTGACATGTCTGTTAAATGTTTTACTGCATACTGTGTTTCTTAAGTGAAGTAATAAACCAATAAGAGTGGTTACATTAAAAAACAAACCAAATATTGTCACCTGCAAAAAGCACCCAATAGTGTAGTTAGGAAGTCATGCTGTATATATATATATATATATATATATATATATATAAATTGTACTGTGACAACTTGGACATTTGAGTTGAATTGAGTAAACTTGAAATTTTAAGACAGCAAGAACACTTACTGTTTAAGTTGAAACAACTATATGTGTGTGTTTATATATATATATACATTTGAGCTTTTTGTTAAAATACCTTGTAATAAATAAAATAATAAAAATGTTATGAACTAGAAGGCATATAAATGGAATAGATTTAATGTCCATTCATACCAAGATGATAACTAGAACTACAAAATCAAATAAAAAAATCATAAAATAAAGTCCACACCACACCAACAACAATAATTACACAGAGAAATTATATCTTTGGAATTAAATTTTTTTCCTCAGCTGATGAATGCTAAAAATACTGACAGCAAGTAAGAATCCATCTGATTTTAAGCATGTAAAGCATCAGGCGGCATAAATGCAGCATGCTTATAATAAACAAAATATTGGTGTGGGCGCTAATATAGTTATCATTACAGATATCTTTTTATCTAATATTTAACATTCTTGATTTAAACGGGCCTTTATATCTTAAATTGACTTTTTTAAAATTTTGACACAACTACAGTCCTGCCAACACCCAGTTCTATCCAAATAGTGATGAGGGTAAGAGATATGTATAAAGTATTTAAAAAAACAAAACAACAACAACAAAAAAATCATTATGCATAAAAAAATTTGTGTGCTGCATGCCCTTAGTGAATATCTCACATTTTTGTAGTGTGGAAAAGAGCAGCTTTGAAATTTTGATATTTTACTGGAATAAATTTCAAGCAACACAAGGGCGGGCAGGTAATGACATAATTTTTCTTAAAACAGAAAATGATCTATGGGGGAGTGTGACTCTCTCAATTGCCTATTATATACGTTTGACAATTGCCTATTAACATAGATCCAAGCCTGAAAATCTGAAATCACTTACCATGTGGAGGCTCCCAGTAAAACCTCCCAATAATGGCAGCCACTGTCGATGAAGACGTTGCCAGCGGCACCGTAGGATCCGGTTCCGCTGAAGCGTTCTGGAGTGTGACTCTTCTTCAGTGAGCTTTCATCCTTCTCCATGGTCAGACAGTCATTGGAAAGGCGCAGCTTCTTGTGGGATGTTTTGGGGTCCAGTTTGAAAGGCTGACCTGAGGAGCAGATAGGACAGAGATGGGTGAGATACAACAGAAACATGTAATATGAGCCAGTGAGGAATGAGTTTGGTGACCTGAGGAGAAACTCTCACTGATCTGCTGGAATTTGTGCAATTTGTTAAATGTCAGATTGAGCTCTTCTGGTTAATTAGGAGATGAGCGGTTGTGATAAAAGGCACAGTGTGTATGTGTGTAAGAGTTAAAGACAGAGCGAACCAAATGCTAAATGAAGTCTGCTACGTATATGATTTGAGTTTTACATTTCGTCACCTTGGAATTATAAGGCTCTATCTGCATTCTGAGCAGTTTCGTGATATTGAGCTTTAAAGTTGTTGCATTCCATATAGTGATATGGGGAACAAGTCTCTTTCATACATCAGTCCCAAAATGTACACAACTTAAAAAAAAAAAAAACTTCACGTAATGTAGGTAAGTTGTTACAGACCAGGGATGTGAATAACTAAATTTGGACAAAAATGGCAGATAGAACCTTATAATTCCAAGGTGAAGATTTCTTGAAAAGCAGAAGTGACCCCACAGACCCGACATTTAACTTTTGGCAGTCTAAATCTTCCCATCCCCAGCGTAATCAGAAAAAAAAACTCATTATATCTCATTATGAAGAAAGCAATGACAAAAATGTTACATTTTGCTTAAAATATCCTGCATTTCACAAAGGTCATATGAAAATGTTTAACTTTTAATGAGTCTTTATTTGATAAAACAGTAGATAAGAATGCAAGGATATTAGGAGGTCTAGAGAATGACACAAATGAGCAGTGTTGGGCAAGTTACTTCCAAAATGTAATACATTATATATTACTAGTTACTATTACTAGTTGTCTTTTGAAAGTAATTGGTTACATTACAATATTACTGTTTCTGAATTGTAATGCTTTACACTACTTTTGAGTTACTTTCACCAAAATATCCACAGAAGTATTATAAAATGCCAAAATGTAGTTTATTGCTGCTCATTATACATCCAGTGGAGGGTAATGTGGTAGGTCTATATAGCATACAATTATAAAATCATATTTAGATGCCGGTATGTAGGTCTACATTAATGTTACGTTGTAGTTTAGGTTAAACACACATAAGCACAAACCGCATTATTACATTCATAAATAACACCGGTAAATAAAGCGAAATGTTATAATGTACAAACAATAAACACAATACCTACATTGAACGGTTTCAGAAGAAAACAAGAATGAAAAATATAAGTTGCTAAACAAGCCAAAACAAATTAGGCTAATTCAATAAGAAACTGAAAGCAAACAGCGTTCTCCAGTAGCCTACCTCTCTCATTCAGCATTAATCCAATTAAATGTGTCCATCATAGGTGGAGCGTGTGTAAGGCTGGGGAAGGCTATAAGCCCTGGCCATGGGGACTTGGGGCAAAAATGGCACTAAATTGGACAAAAATGCCCCTGTACAAACAATTAAATATATTACGTCTGTTGCTAACTAAGTGAAAATGAATAGACAGTGTCGATTGTGGCATTAAATTAAGATCTGATCATATTGCACCGTATTTCATTTGAGGCGTTTTTAAAGTGTTGCACATTTTAACCATTCACACACAATTCTGTTGCGCTTAGCAATGCAATGGCCAATCAGAGGCGTTCAGATGAGTCATCGTTGAAAAACTCATCAGTTTTGTTGAGTGCGTGCGCGTTCTCTGACTGAACTCCGGACTCTTGCGAATTCTCTCATCATAAACAACAAAGCGCAGATGTACGTACAATGTAAGTAAGAGATTAATTTCACAGTGTATACAGCTTCAGTGTTTAACGGGGTTTTTTTTTTGAGAGTGCTAAAACTCGGGATAGAGCAAAGTTAGTGATAATGTCACTTTCTATAGCCTATATACTTTATTTGCTGTTTGAACAGCCGTGGAAAGGAAATGTTATAATGATCAATTTCTAATGTTTTTATTAAATTGTAATAACGTTAAATACAAATTCAGTCCCATTAAACATGTTTTATTAGCCTACATGGCACCCTGGTTCTTGTCTAAAAAGACGGGTTTATGATGTTTAATACATTTGGCTGCTTTTAGCCATACCCTGGAGTTGGTTCACCCTCCGCCTATGGTGTCCATATTTGCGATGTATTTGAATGCTAAACTATTAGGCTATTTATTATGTAAAACCAGGCTTACTTAACGCACTTAAAAACATCCTCGTCACGAGCAAATGTGTGTTTGGCCCGAGCTCAGGCTGAATGGCACGGATTGTAGGCCTACTACGCAGTACGCACTATTTAAATTAATCAGTGTATCTATATGTTTGGTTGACTGTATTTTATTCTGATAATGAACAGGCTACAACGTTTGCAATGCTGTATGTGTGTCCGTGAGGCGCCGGCGCGATCGAACAGCGGAAACCAACAACAAAAAAATACTCCGTCATTTTTGGTCATACAGATCATTCGAAACTGCAATGTGTTTACTTTATTTCAGTCATCTCGGTTTCCTTTCCGTGGACTTTCGTAGAGCGCCGCGCCACACAAATAGCCTAAGAACCAAACTCAGCAGCATATCTCTCGGTCTTTTCCTTTCGTTTTGTTAATCTGTTAATTAGGCTATTTAAGTCAAATATTTCACATATTCATTCATTTTATATATAGACTATAATTTAATAAAAACAGATTTTGTTATGTTTAGTTAAACTTAATTTTAGTTGCTTGTCTGCGCTCGTCCGCCGCCTTCACAGTGTATTCTCCGACCCCGCAGCTCTCTCCATCCAGTGTTTCCAGGTTTTACTCGTGCTATTTCTCCATGTTGAGAGTTTGGTGTCGCACATATTGCTAAGCATTCTTATCCTTTTCTCCGATGAACTGAAAATAACAGGAGTGTGTCCATCTCACAAATGTAGAATCCGTCTCTGCAGTCATCTCAACCATCTTAATTTCAGCAACAGGAAATAGACGAACCTATTTAACCGCAGAATTTTTTCTTTGGTGCCGTTTTGCGGTGTTGATAAATTCACCACTTAATTTTGTTGTTGTAACTTGCGTTACTGAGATTGTAACGAGTAATAATATTACCCAAATTGTATTAGTAATGAGTTATATTACTGCGTTACAGCAAAAAGTAATATACTACAGTAATATTATTACTTTTGTAATGCGTTACTCCCAACACTGCAAATGAGGCTAAAACCTACATCACAAAAATATTACTGTTCTATATGCTGTAAACTACAACTGACGCTGAAATTTGTAGGTGAAGATGTAATTTTATACACCTCCATTTTAAGTTTACTGGACCTCTTGGAGTTCTAGAATTATGGTAAAAAGACCAGAGGTCATATTAGCAAAATTTCCTTAAAAGTTTGTGGGCAAAATGTTTATTTTCAGTAGTATAGCAATGTATGAAGCACAGCTTTCTGCTGGTCAATGCGGTGAATTTGTGACCAACTAGAATGGTTGCAAAATCTGTGTGGGGAAATACTTTGCCCTCACATGAAATTCCCAATTGCATGGATTCCCACTGAAAAGACTGGATTTTTCCCACACAGATTTACCAAAAAAACCCAGTAAAAGTAGCCAAATCTTAAGTTTCAATCTTTTATGGTTAGAAAGTCACAGAACATTTGAACACCAAATGGAACGGCAATCAAAATGGACCATTTTATCCATCAATGTCAAGCTGCTAAATACAGTGGCCTCAGAAGCTATCTGGACATTTCATTTAAACAACACAAATGGAAGAATGGCACTGAATTTATACATTTGGACATGCATTGAATTTTTGATTTTTTGCGGGTGAAGTCAGTTCTCCTCAAGTTCTATCTGACTTGTAATTCATCACATTAACTATGAACATGTTGCACTACATTTTGTCAAGCAGTAAAGAGTTGCAAAACTCTCAAAAAAAATGTATGTTGCAGAATCTAACAAAATAGCACTTTGCTATCCATCTTTAAAATAAACAATGAAACTGTAGCTTAATTGTCCAAATACTTTTTGGGGCTACTTTATAATCAATAAACATATTTATTCTGATACAGCTGGGTGATACCATATTTAAAGACGAGTGAAGAACACTACAAAAAACATAATTAAAATCCTCAAAATGGCTAGAGACCAAAGAAGGCGCTTGCTCAAATAAAGAACAATCAATCTGGATTAATGATATACTATGATTAACAATGCAACCATAGCAGAAGAGAGCACACAAGAAGAAAGATGACCATTTGATAGGGCTGTGTGATATTGAAGAAAAATGCGATATGCGATACCTTGTTAAAAAATGCGATATTCGGTACGCGATACGATATTGCTTAAAGTGTGTAAAATCTATTTAAATTATATTTTAAAAAATGTAAAATGAAAACTATATAACCAATTTGTTTCACATTCTTTCTTGGAAAAGAAAGAATCACTACAACTTCTGAAAGTGACCAGCAGTGTTTTAGCATTACTTAAAAAGTAATGTCACAAATTACAAAATGTATTTTAACATCAATGTGAACATACAAACAAAAAAATTAATGACACTAATTTCATATCATTGTAACTTTGCTTTCCACACACTTTAAGTACTTTTGAGACGGGTACTATTGACATAATTCTGTGTGCATGTGTCTGTTCAAACATAAGGAGGAGATGCGAAAGACGAATCAGCTCGGTCTGAAACACGTCTCTCTGTGTGCGCATGCTTTGCACGTCTGCAGCAGAACTGAAGAGACGCTGCGCGAGATGCGGCTTGTTCGCTCGCTTCAGGTGCGAGTCAGACAGCAAGACGAGATGGCAAAGAGTTGTTTTCTGCAACTTATTGCACTTAATAACTCTTTTTAACGTCAAGCAATTCTCTGCTATATGTGTCGAACTAAAACTTTGACCTTTTGCAACGTTTTGATTTAAGTAGCCTATTATTAAAATGATAATGATACCGCACGCCGTTGCGATATGCATATTGCGATATTTACATTTGCGATATTTCGATATATCGTGTAGCCCTACCATTTGAGGAATAAAAGATAGATCAGTGGGAATGAAAGGCAGTGATTCGCAGTGACCCCTGATGCC